TGAAGGGAGCGATAAAGGGACTTTGAAGGCTGGAGGAGGATTTGGGGGCAAGGGGGTCGGCTTGAGCCACGTTCCAACCCCACCCGCCCAAAGCCAGAATGTCAGGAAACTGAAGAGGCTGAGGAGGGCAATTCAGGTTAGTTGGGCAGGACGGGGGCGGGGGTTTAAGACGCACCTGCATTTAATTGCATCGGCTTGACTGAACTGGAGCTCAGGTAAACGGGTGCCCAGAAGTACATCTTGGAGGAGGCACCCAAACACACTAGAACATCAGGACTGGGAACTGTGGGGACGCCAACACAAGCGATCTCTCTTTGTCCCCGGATATTTTGGGGTCAAGAGGCAGGACAGAGGCGGGAAGAAACAGTAGGTGTCACTCACAGTCCATTGACTTTCAGAGACTGGGCGGTGGGGGGGCGGTGGTGAGGTGGCACCCCCCCCCGGGGGTGTTTAGGCAGAGGCAAATTCCCCGCTATTCGGGAAGGTAGCGAAGCCTTTGAGCTCCCGCCGTCCTTCTTCCTCCCGCCCCCGTCCGTCCGCTTGATCCGCTGAAGCTGGGGCTGCCCTCCGGCCTCCACGCCGAGCCGCTTGACCCGAAGGAGACTGGGTGGCTCGGGGAGGTCCCCTCCGTCAAAAAGGGCCCGCCGCAAGCGCCTGGGGGGTGCTGGGAGGCGTTGAGGGGGCAGGTTGGTGCCGGACAGGATCTTGCCAACCAGGTACCTGCAAAAGAGAGTACAAAATTTACAGGGGACTGAAACCAGGAGCTTCGAACTTCACGGAACCATTTGCTGAAGTTGGGAATAGTTCCAGAACAGGCCCGTAGCTACGGTGGGGCGGGGGGGGGGGCCCTGCCCCCTTTCTTTAAGGCACCGCCCCACAGCCCCACAAACATTTCTTCTGCAAATGCTTTTTTCAATCATTTTAAAACTTTTTAAAAAAGGTATACACTCCTTTAAGCAGAGTGGGGTGCTGCAGTTGACTAATTCCTGCACTGAGCCAAGGGGGTTGCAGTAGGTGACCTCTAGGATCCCTTCTAAGTCTGTCTCAAGAAACTGGTCTCCTTGAAGAGAGTTCTTCTGCTCAGGTGTTAGTTTTCTTGACTATAGAAGTCATCACCCCCACCTGCCGGCTTGTTCTCAGAATGGTTGCTCATGCTGGCAGCAGCGATTAACTTGCAGCAATGGAGAACTGTCATCTAAAATGGCTGACAGCTTGCAGTTTAGAGATCTATCCTGGTAACAGCTTTCTATTGGCTAAATGGCTTTTCTTTCTGCACTGAGAACTTCAGCCCCACCGGGGGGGGGGGGGGGAACCCCCCCAAAAAGCCACAAAATCCCAGCTACGGGCCTGATCCAGACTCTTAAATTTGCCCGTCAGCAAGAGATGTGAGTCAGAAGGTAGAATATCTGACATGGTTCTGTGGCACGTGGACACATCCCTCGCTTCCCCTGACAGAATCCGGAACAATGGAGGCTGCATCTCTACCAGAGAACCCCTCCAATGATGGAGCGGAAAGAGTTTCCTGGGCCTGCAATACTTTTCCTTCTGTGGCAAGGCTTTTTCTTCCCTGTACCCTTGAGAAACAGTTTTCAAACTGTGCTGCGAGAAAACTTCGGGCTCCTCAATGAGAAGATCAAGAAGAGAAGATAACCTTCCGTACCAGCATCCCTCTCCTTTGTAATGGGCGGCCAAGGAGTCTTGAGAGCCAGTTTGGAGTAGTGGTTAGGAGTGCAGACTCCAATCTGGGAGAACTGGGTTTGATTCCCCTCTCCTCCACATAGAGCTGCTCTGGGGTCAGTCACAGTTCTCTCAGAGCTGTTCTGGAAAGGGCAGTTCTCTCAAGAGCTCTCTCAGCTCCACCTACTTCACAAGGTGTTTGTTGTGAGGAGGGGAAGGGAAAGGAGATTGTAAGCTGCTCTGGGACTCCTTCAGGTAGTGAAGGGCAGGGTATAAATCCAATCTTCTTCCTCTTCTTCTTACTAGGTGTTTGCTAGAGAGGAACTGGATATTTCCTAGGCCAGTGGTGGCGAACCTATGGCACGGGTGCCAGAGGTGGCACTCAGAGCCCTCTCTGTGGGCACGCGTGCCATCGCCCCAGCCAGGCCCAGACCATCATTAAAGTGTCAAATTCTCTGCCAAATAATTTTAAGTAAATGAAAGCATTGGGGATTGCTTTCCTTACTTTGTTTAGATCATCTTAAAGTTAATGTATGAGTTGTTTTTTCTAAAGTAAAACCTCCGTATTCAGGTTAAATTGCCGTGTTGGCACTTTGCGATCAATAAGTGAGTTCTGGGTCGCAGTTTGGGCACTCGGTCTCTAAAACGTTCGCCATCACTGTCCTAGGCCTGTATTTCTTAACCTTCAACCCTCCTATCCTATGGAGGGCAGGTCTATCAGTGCTGGGGAACCTCCACATTCAGAGGCAGTAGACTTCTGAAGACCTTCACGTGGTTGGCCCAGGTTGGCCCTATCTTGCCAGATCTCAGAAGCTAAGCAGGGTCGGCCCTGGTTCGTACTTGGATGGGAGACCACCGAGGAAGTCCAGGGTTGCTATGCAGAGGCAGGCAATGGCCAACCACCTCTGAACGTTTCTTGCCATGGAAACCCTATGAGGGGCTGCCATTAGTGGGCTGCAACTTGACGGCACTTTCTACCACTAAACCTCCAACTACTGCTGCTAGGAGTCAGCCTCAAGGGAAGGCCTCAGTCTCTACACCCTCCAGAGGAACTGGTTGGCCCCTGTGTGAGACAGGATGCTGAACTAGATGGACCACTGGTCTGACCCAGAGGGGCTCTTCTTGAGTTCTTCCTCTGAAAAAACATACACATACTGAATTCGGGGGTATACTCTCATTGCAAACCAAATTCCCCATGTACCGAGGGGTAAAAACATCCCCCCAAATATTTTTGTTTGTAGTTGTCATGTATCTCTTCAGAACGCATAAAAATGGTCCCCTAGACCACTGTTTTCTTAATAAACTCACAGGGCAGAAAATATACCTCAACGGGGTATTTTAGTATCTCACGGGGTTAAAAAAAATACCTCAGTGCCAAAAAAAGGCAAATATTTCCACATGGTTTTTTTTCTACCCAGGTGCTTTTTTTTTGGTTTAAGAAAGTAATCTGTTAAGTGGTAAGCGGCTGTCCTTTGGGGACATCGTAGAGGTGACAATGTCCTGAGGGGGAAAGGTTCTGGAGTCACTTTTCTCTACATTCTCCACAAAAAAGTACAGCTGAGGTAGCTCATTCACCCCTCAGTGTTTTTAAAGTGAGAAAGCTGCCAAATACCAAAGCTCCTTGCATGCCACATACTCTAATCTGGACTCCCTGCCCCTTATCCACAGGGTGTAGGGCAGGCTATGTTTATTCACAAATATTTTAACACCCTAGACAGCCACATGGGTAGGTTGCAGGCCCACAGACAGAATTTCTTTTATTGCGGGGGGGGATGGGATGAGTACATTGGTGAACAGCCCATCATTATTTATTTTCCCTGCTTTACTTCAACATGGTTTTACACACATACCCCCGCAGGCTTTTTTAAAACCAGCCAGTGTTTCCTCCAAGCTGTGTGAATGAGCGGCTGCTCATTGACACAGGAAGCCCCGCTCAGCAGCAATCCGGAGCCGCACAGGGTCTTGCACTGCCCATTGCCCCTTTTAAGATCACAGCAGTTCTATTCTCAGGATGTG